GCTCACGGCAGAGAAGCCCCCGCCGGCGAGACGCACGCTCTCCGCGCCGGCGGCGCTCGCGTACGTCGCCGCGCGCCGCCCAGCGGCGGACGTGAACTGGGGTTTCCGCGCGCAGCTGCGCGAGTGGGAGGGGGTGTGTCGTGCGGGGGAGACTTCGTGATTCGGGGCTTGCTTGTATCCAAGCATGTTATCGAGGGTTATCGAGGGAAGGGTGTAGTGGCGCGAAGAAGACGTGACGTGCACGTGTCGAGTCGAAGCCGCAATCCCAATCCAATCCTTACCTCCTCTACTTACTTACCCGCCATCCATCCATTCATCCATCCCTCTAGCTAGGTAGCTAGCCACGCCTAGCACTCAAAAACCGATCGTTGACAGGTGGCACACCAATTGTACGAGTACCAAGAATCGAATCGAATGCAAGTTTTATCGTGATCGTCTTTTGCGGATTTCCATCCAGGTTTAGGTGCAACGGCGACAGTGACGACTTCGCCTCGGGCCATCGACGACAGTGTTTTTCCTGGGCTTTTTTTTCTTCTGTATAGACAGGCTTTTCCTTTCTTCATCATAATCTACGACGGCCCGTATATAATCTAGACCTATGCTACCTTCCTCCTAGTATACAGTATCTATGTAACAACCAAGTTATCTATCGTACCTTCCGTATATTTTATGTATCACCGATATATTGTTTCGCAGGTCCGTTTCGCAGTCAACGGCCAGCCTACCTGTCAACGGTCTGCTCAGCGCGTCTCGGACACAGCCAATTCCATTCTGTTTCGTTTCCAATTAAGGTCTTGCGTCTCACGAACTGCGGGTCCGACAGAATTATGTTCATGTCTGATGCGCACCGCGCCTTTCCGCTCGAATCTGAAATCTCACAATCTCAAAATCTCAAAATCTCCGCGTTGTCCTCAAACAGTGAACACAGCCCATTTTATTTTGTGTCGAATGTAGATACGGCGCACGGCGTACTGCGCCTCAAGGTCGCACCTCTCAAGTCGCAACAGCAGCAATTTAAATTCGTCCCGCATCGTTTCGGATTTTGGGTACGGCGCACGGCGTACCGCGTCTCAACAGCATTTAAATTCAAGTTTGTTTAACGCGCACCCGCCCCGCGCCGCGCCTTCCCGGATCCCCGCGCGCGTCTGAGTCGCGCCTTCCTCGTTCAATCGCGGAATCTCCGCACTCATCTTATCCCCAGCGCATCTCGGACACAGCCAATTTATTTTGTTTCGTTATAGAGTCTTGTGAAGTTGTTTTTGCATTTAAATCTGTTTGATGCGCCTCCCGCGCCGCGTTGCGCATTTCCAGCGTCCGCCCGAAACGTCCGCCCGAAACGCGGGTCGCGCCTTCCTATTATGTGGGTCAGAATCTCCGCACACCGCCCCGCGTTTCACCACCTCTTCACCCCCTCCCAATGTCATAAAACAATTATCTGTATCTGTATCCTATCTGTATCCTATCTGTATCCTAGCCGTAAATCATACATTCGTATTCGTTCCGATCCGGTATTACTGTAACAAGCCCGTCGAGTGAGAGTGAGAGAGAAGTGAGAAGAGTGAGAGTGAGAAAGGGGGAAGAGAGGGGAGAGATAAGTACAGTCCGTATCCACGCGTCGTGGGTGTAGAAGTCATAGTAAGTCGTAGATGTAGTGGTGGGAGTGGGAGCCGTGATGGAAGTGGGAGCCGTGAGTCGCGGAAGCGTAGGGAGTAGTGAGGGTGTAGGGTGTAAGAGTGAGGTGTCCGTGTAACGTGTGAGTCGTATCCGCGCCCCGCGCCCTGTCGCTCGCGCACAGCTCCCTCTATGTCCGCCTCCGTGTCTCCGTTGCCGGATGGTGATTTGCCGGGGACAAGACGGAAGACGAAAGCGGCGACGGGGGCAGGGGGCAGGGCGGACAGCGACGTAACGGACGGGCGACGGAGAGGCGAGACAACGGCAACGGTCCCCGCCGTCATACCGCACGCCCGTCCCGCACGCCCGTCCCGTCCCCTTCGCCTCCCCGACCCGTCCCCTCGCACCGCCACCCCACCGCGCACCCTCTCCCTCCCCTCCCACTTCCGTACCCGCCGCGCACCCCTCCGCCCTTCCCCTTCCCCCTCCCTCCCACCCCCACGCACCACCCTTCCCATTCCCCTCCCACCCTCACCCTCGTACATCCAACGCCGAGAGACACCGACCGACTACGCACAACACTGCCCCGTCTTGGCATCCTCCGCGGGGACGGCGCCGGGCTTGGAGAGCTTCACGCCGGGGGACTAGAAGATGGATCGTCAGCGTCAGTGAGGGGAACGAGAAGGGTAAGGCGAGAAAAGGAGGAGGAGGAGGGAGGGAGGAGCGACGGAGGGGGAGGGACCGAGGGAGAGGGATGGCAGAGAAGAAGAAGGGGGGAGGCGGAGGCGGGGGGACGGACAAGCGAGAGGGAGAGGAGGGCGAGGAGAAGTCTCCATAGCGACGAGGGCATCGCCTTCGGCTTCAGCGCGGTGGGTGAGGCAGGAGGGACGATATGGAAGTATGGGAGGAGGTAAAGGCGGTCGCAGGGAAGTGGAGGCGCGTTCCCGGAGGGCATGGTGAAGAGGAATTGGTGCGAGTATAAGAAGTGAGGCAGGAGGAACGCGCAAGGGGGTGGGAAGTCAAGGAGGAGGAAGACGACGGTTATAGCGAAGAGCGGGGAATGAGGGATATGAGGGACGACAAGGAGGTACGGGGGTAGGAGCGCAAGAGAGGGTAATGTGGATGACGGGGCGGAGGACGGGGACGAAGGGGATAGGAAGAAAGAGGGAATGTGAGTAAATGTCAATGACATGATGGACGGTAGCGCCGGGAGAGGCAAGGAGACGGACAGTGAATGATGGTGGGGACGAGGAGGGAGGGGAGAAAGAGGAAGATGGTACAGGACGGTGGTGAACGGGGACGCGTGGGCGGAGGAAGGAAGAGGGGGAAGGGGAGCTGTGCATCGTCACCACCGCGACGCCACGGTATCGAAGCGAGCGGGGCGACGACGAGCGAAAGGGGGGAACGCTGGAGGTGGAAGAATACAGAGCGAGGGTAAGGGGGGCGGAAGGACAGAGGGGAATCGAAGTCCGGAGGAAGGAGTCGAATATCCATAACAAAAAGAATACCCACCCGCTCATCATCAAACCGCCCCGCGCGCACCTTCCCCAGCACCTCCTCCGCCGCGCGGATGAACGCCGCCTCGACCCCCTCGCCGCTGCGCGCGCTTGCCTCTGTGAAGAGCATGCCCTGGATGTGCGTTAGCGTCTGCTTGTGTAGATGGAGTGAGGAGACAAGGAGACGCATACTTCATCATTAGCAAACTGCTGTGCAAGCTCGGTCGGGACGGCGCGTTCGCGGAGTTCTGGGGGAGAACGATCAGCAAGCCGTTACGAAGCGAGCAACAAGAGGGAACGGAGGGAGGATCTTCCTAAAAAGGAAATCGGGATTCGGGAAGAGAGGAGGAGAAACACCAGGATGTGAGCGGGACTCGAAGTAAGAGCGCCTGTGGATGGCAAGTAACGACACGGGACATCGACTATAAAGATATCGTCCGGTCCTGCTTCGCCAGGACGTGCGACGATACGCAGCCAATACGCGGCCAAAGCACACAGTCGCATTGAGATCGCGGCATTCACTGAGACGCTGCCAGGCAAAGTGCTACGTCACGCTCGACGCCCCGCCCGACATTAAGACGCCGGTGAGTATGCGCGCACCCATCCGACACCTCCTCCCAGGGCAGCACTCCGAAGAGTGGTGGGCGCTGCGGCCCCACGCTCCGCTGCTCGCTGCATTGACGCCAATGGCAGACGCAGCGCCGAGGCTGCATGCCACATCTCGAGCGGAGCCCTGCCGCTCGCTGCCAGCACAAGCACCATTACCGTGCAGCCCGCCAGCCCGTGCCAAGATAGCATGCTCCGCCACGGAGCGCAGCATGGACGGCCTGCAACAGGTCGACATGCGGGACCGTACACGCGGCGTAAACGAGGCACGCCGTCCACCACACATAGCAGCGGTACACACTCCTCCTCCCAGCTTCCCCGTCTCTGCGCGCTCAAGCCAAAACACAAAAAGTGAAAAGAAGAAAAGAAAAGAACGCACCCTCCCCCTCACAAAGATCCACCTTATTCCCGACCAATATACACGAAACATGCGCATCGGCGTGTGCGCGCACGTCCGCGAGCCAGGTGCGCACGTTGTCGAACGAGCGGCGGGAGGTGACGTCGTACACGAGGAGGCAGCCTGGCGAGTGCGAGTCAATAAACGTTAATTAGAAGAGAGGAGGAGACGCACCGGCAGCCCCACGATAATACGATCTCGTAATCGAGCGAAACGACTCGGTCCCAGCAGTATCCCAGCATTGCAGCTTCACCACTGTGGCTTCGGGGCCAGGCAGGGTTATGAGTTTCGAGCCGAATTCGACGCCGAGCTAATTTCACATTTCGTCAGCGCGCATAGGGATATTAAAGCCGGGGAGAGGTGAAGTGGAGAGCACGGAGATATTTGACGCACCGTTGGATCCGGATTCGCGAGAAACCGCTGGTCCGTAAGTCGTACTAGCAGCGAGGATTTCCCGACAGCTGCGTCGCCGGTGATGATGAATTTAAGCACATAGTGCCAGGCTGGGCTCGCCATGGTGTTCTTATCAAGTGTGAAGCTCCTGGTCTAATAATCCGTTCGAATCCGAGCGAATTTGGGTCGAATACTGAATTCTCGTCGTCCGCAAGTGCCACTAGCGCCCAATTGGAGTCAAGTCGAGAGGAGTTCTGGTTCCAAGCAGCAGGTATAATCCAAGAAGAGTGTAGTATTTACTGGTCGAAGTGAGGTGTATGAGCAGCCTTGAGCGAGTGGACGAGAGTCGAGGAGAAGAGGGAAATTGGCGTGACGCAGCCAAGGCAACGCGTGACGCCTGACCCCGTGACTCAGTGATGGCGGGAAATCCCGCTTCCCCATTGCTCCGAACTTCCTCCTCCATCACTTCTCTTTTGCTTCTCTTCCCTCTGCCTGTAGACTCGATGGCGTAGTGGTAGCGCCCCGGCCGCAACTACGCACGAGGACTGAACATTTCTGCCGAGGACGTCGGTTCGAACCCGGCTCGAGTCTTGGATCGTCTGTGCACATTTTTTTGTTCCTCATCTAAGATCTTCGTCGCGGGATATCACCCCTGTCTCTGAGTGCTGCACAATCATATCCCCGACGGAATCTGTATGGCGCCGCCGCCGAACGTGGCTCAACTTTCTTTGGGGCCTCTCCGAAAACCCTGCGACTTGGTTTGGACTTTTAAATTGCAGTTTAACAAATCCAGGGACGTGCCGACAGATCTTGAGGGAAGCAAGGAAATTTGAGCAAAACTCTTCATCTGGTCGATCTGTTATTTAATAGAACTTGCAACGAAAGTTACTTTTCAGGTTTCCAACCCCAAGACTGAAACTTGGTCCAAGCTCTTATCCCAGCTTCGCTATCGTCAATTCTAAGTCTGTCGCCCCACTTTGCACCCTTGGACAATCATTGCATTCAAACGGTTCGGAGGCCGGACCTACTCTGTATGGCGTTCACTTTGTACATTTAATATTTTCACACACACACACAATTTTACCATTTCACACACACATTTTCCGCAACTTTCACACACACATTTTCTGAGTTGCCTTTTACGGATGCTTGTCCCTGTATGTCTGTCGTACCATCAAGCCGGCATCCCCGGCATCAAAATGCTCCAAATAACCCAATGCATCCCTCAAGGCCGAGCAGGCCCGAGCTCAAACTACTCACCGATACTTGGCTCCACCATGCATTGGCTGCGGCCCGTGCCCGAGGATTTTGTTGAATCCTCCACGGCATCGTCATTTGACACCTAACTTACACCGGTGAGTGATCCTACTTGATTTACCCACAGATAGTCCCGGGATGCACCAGGCTAGATGAAGAATCATCTTTGTCCTTTCAACCTAAGGTGAACCCTCCATATGTACACTCGGCATTCCCGAGCCTGATGGCCGCGCTTGATGGACATCAGCTTGAGGTTATTAATTGTAAGTTCTTGAACGGAGAACGGGGAGATTTCTGAAAATGTATTTGAGAAGCTTTACCGCATCAATGTTAGATCCACCGGAGAGGTCTCCCTGCTGGATGGTGGTAGGTATCGCAGTATCAGATTCGAAAGAAGCCCCTATCGACTCCAAGGGAAACAGTCAAGGAAGTGACGAAGATGGGCCTCACGAATGTGCCCTCAAAGTCACCTGCACCGTATCTTGCATTTTTCCCCCCACTGAAATGCACCGCGGAAGGCATCGCGACTGGCTCAACCGAGAATGGCAATTTCGATCAGATTGATTTGGGCTTGTGACGGTCCGTGACAGGACGCGTCCAGCGCAACAGCGAATCCTCGGCAAAAAATTGTGAGGAGACACAAGTGTCTATATAGCATGAGACACCCACCCCGAATTTTCCTGAGCCCTCACGGTGAATGGTTAGAACAGAGTTACATTTGTTACTCAAAGAACGTCGAGTTGATGCATCGGCCGTTCCTCCCGCTCAATCCCTTAGTATTTCGGAAAAAGTGTGCACTACCATAAAATGGTATCCTGTAAAATACCGACGGGAAAATGAACGAGAGGTGGCCGAGAAAAAGGATTATCAGACCCACCGGGAATTATCGGAACCATCGGGACAGATAGCAAGGCAGCCGCGCGAAGATGCCGACTTGATGGTAGGATTGGCATATAGGGACAAGCATCCCTAAAAGGCAACCCAGAAAATGTGTGTGTGAAAGTTGCAAAACTTTGCGTGTGTGCGAGCGAAAGCAACCAAATTGTGTGTGTGAAACGGTAAAATTGTGTGTGTGTGTGAAAAATTTTAAATGTACAAAGTGAACGTCATAACTCTGCGTCTGATTGTTCAATGCAAAACCAGGTTATTTCTGGCGCGGATAAAGACTGGAATTGACATGCATATGTTGAAAGACTCGGTGGCGAACACTATCCCACCCACTTCACCGGGATCAGTATGTGCGATGCCAGTGGACATTCCCCGTTCGAACCGGGACCGAGACATTGCACCTGGGCACAGCTGTCTTTTTTTTCGGCTCCTCTAGTTTCACGCCTACGTTCTTCGCCTCCCAAAATTATCACCATGGTTCATAATGCCATTCCGAATCCTCTAGGTTCATCTGGATAAGAAATCTACTCTCTGATCTGTCACGCAAGCAGATTTAATCTCTAGCAGTCTGGAGGAGCACATTCACCCTGAAATCAACCTTTAGAATGACTCGGTAGTGAACATCACATCCACCCGGTATTCAGAGGGCCCGTTGAAACAGTACAGGTGGAAATCACCCGTTCGACTCGGGTCTCTGAAGTACATCTTTTTTTGACCTTTCCTGACGCCTGAACTTGATCTCTGGCATATCTTGCTGGGGCAGGCTCACACAGTCGCGGGGCGCTCGAATTCTCTCGAAATTGTTTGCAGTACATACGTCTTCTCCTGCGGGTGAATTTAATCTCCCAGATGTTTAGATTGATATTCGATGTACCCGTGGTACCGACTCGATGGTAAATGGCATCACATCCGCCTCAGTTCATAGGCTAGACGACTATAACACTTGCTGGTGGAAGTTGCCCGTTCGATTCGGGCCTGAGTCGTATGCAGATGATATGCTTGACCCATAAATCCTTTTCCCCCGAGCTTTCAATTTTCAGTTGGAACGGAAGGCGCATTGAACATTCGTATTCGAACTCTGACAGGTTCGAGACAAAAAACGCGCTACTTTGCGATTTCGCGGAGGAGAAGGGAGGCTCGTGTGGCTGCTGTGAGGTGGTCGTAACGATTCATTACCTGCTCGCATTCAGGGAAAGGATTCGCAGAAATCTATGCGCGGCACAGTCAGCGTAGGTTCAAATATACCGTCAAAGACTTGCCCGCGTCAGGCCAGCCATGGGTATCGTTATAGATGACCCTCAAGTCCAAACCCTTGTCAAGGAGCGGGCGGAGTTGAGTAATTGTTCCGCGCGGCAGGACCCAGTCCTTGCGCGGAGCCCAACCGACCTCGTGTAAATAAAGCCGCACAGAGTCCAACGGACTCTGAGCCGTGGAGGTGGGGTTTCGGCGCGTCTGCACAAGGTGGATAAAGTCAGAGTAGTCGAATAACGCATGGAATGTGGCGTGGATGGTCAGCGTAGCGAGATGCGGGACTAGCGGAGGGACCCGGTCCATAACCTCAGCGAACCACGATATATGGTCATCAACGTGAACGAGTAGCGATGTGAGCGACGGCGAGCGCCGGAGGCACTCGATGAATTCCCATGCTACGCCAGAGGCAAGTCCGAGGTGCTCGAGGGCTGGGTTAGAGTCGAACAAGGAGCGAGGAGGGAACGTTATATAGCGGCGCCTGGCATAGCGCTGTTTGTACAACTCCAGACGACGCAGGCTGGGAACGTTTAGGGATTCGATGTCGGAACCATGAAGGATGAGAGATTGAAGAAGAGGCAGGGCAATTTCGGCAATGGACATTGTCTGCCCACTGTGAGACTGCTTCATGTGGGCGGTGAGATGCAGCAGTTGTGGACACTGTTTTAGCGCATCGAACAGGGTTTCGATGGATATTTGCTGAAGTTCAAGGGTAGTCAAAAGCGGGGAGAGGTTGGTCATTAACGCAGGCACGTCCCCGAGTCTGAGCTCCGACAACACAGGAGCGTCCGGGAGTACCGAGAGCGAAGATGATGAACAACTCCCATGCGGCAATATGGCTAAATGCTTGAGATGTGGAAATGCTGGGCAAATCATCCCCAAAAGGCGAAGGTCCTTGTCGGGAAGCGTAAGCTCGAGGCGATGAGCCCGTCCAGCTGCAAGGTAAAACATGGGAGAGAGTTGATAACCACCCTGATCCAGCGATCGGATGGTCAACGAGAGCGAGTGCTCCTTGGCCCGTGCGAACCACGTTTCCTGCAAAGAGCGCATCCCGCGCATCCTGTTGATGTAAGACTTCCCGTCTGGGGAATCCCAGTACTTCCGCGGAGTTCCATCGTAATTGTACGGAATGAGGAGATCCAACGAACTCCAAAGCTGGCAGGAAGAGAGCGCTATCTCTCGCCAATAACTGCAGACCTGGGCGAGTGTGAGGGGAGGCGTAAGAGGTGAAGGCCGCACGCGGCCATGGCTGGGAAGGCATGCGAAGAAAATTTGGGAGAGAATTTCCGGGGGAATTGATAGGACAGGATAAACGATGCGAGCGAGCTGCATCTCCAACTCGCGTCGTTTGTCCTCGAGGACATTCATATACGCCCTGTGCCGCACGATTTCAGCTGTAACTTCATCCAATTTGGAGCGCAGCTGGACAGAGGAGTATTCGGATGGTGGTTCCACGGGGGATTCGGATGAAAGCGTCCACATATTGCACTGACCACAGCTGTCGCAAACTGCAGCCATGACGGTCGAAAGGAGGCGAGTCACGCCTGTGACTAGCCGATGTGTGGCTTAGCTTGGCTCAGTATGGTCCTCTTTGGTTCAGAACCCAAAGAAAACCACCATGTCGATCTGCGAAAAGTGTGGACACCAGTCTCCATCCTTAGGAGCGACTGGGCACGCTGTCCCGCCGCTACCCCCTTTGCCTTCAAGTCAACTCTCCGTCCAGAACCGTCGCGTAGCCTTGGCTGACGTGAAGTCGCAAATTGCGCTTTACAAAAAGCGCATCGAGGACCTGGAGAAAGACCAGAGCGAGTTAGAGACCAGCCTCTCGCTCGTGGTGTACCCAGTTTATACGCTCCCCTTCGATGTCACCTCTCGCATCTTCGTCCATTGTCTCCCTTCCCATGGACGCGTCAGCGCTTCTCCTTCCAGGGCGCCGTTGCTCCTCGCCCAGATCTGTCGCCATTGGCGCGAGGCAGCGCTGTCCACTTGTGGCCTTTGGAGATCTCTATATTTCGATCCAGGTATCGACTTTGATACCGTCCTCCAGAAGGGCACTCTACCTGACGAGGCGTTTCAAAATCTGCTTCGATGTTGGTTTTCTCGTGCCAGAGGGATCCCCCTGGCTTTAGGAGTCAATTTCCAGTACCGGAGAGCCTCACAGGCCTTCCTGGAGCTGGTCCTGTCGTATGCCCCCCAGA